GAGTTTACAAGTTTAAATCTGGACTGATTTAACTAGCAACCGAATGGCGGAATCACACTTGGCACCAATAGTTGCCTCATATTTATTTATAAGTCACCCTGAGCAAATATTATTTTGTTTTTAAATTTATTCATGGGGCTGAATCACCTTTCCCACCTTACAAACAAACACACATGCTTTTCGTTCTGCAGAAATTTAAAGACAAACTTTAACAATTAGCATCCTTTACTCAGAGGAAGGAAAAGCATAGAGTTCCTTTCTTTGTAACTTGGGGTGGTTAAGAGTTCTGTTGCAAATGCATCTATTTTACGTAAACATAGGAAATAAAAAATGGAAGTAACATGCCTGCCTGTTGATAGAGTCCTACTCTTGGCCAAAGTAGCAAGGAACACTTACACGGCCAATAGCTGATAGCAATGGAAAATTAATATTAACTTGTTAGCATGTCTTTGATTGGTAAAGTGTTCTGCAATGTTTCTTTAAAATTAGCCAACTGTATCAAAATCTTTTAAGAGGGCAGAATTCAAATCCAAAGCTGAACCAGCTTGTAGTGGCATGGAAAACCAAAGAATAGGTTGGGAAGTAAGACAATCATCACAAAGAGGAAGGCAGCCATTTTGAGCATGTCTGTCCCGAAAGGAAAATGGTAGGAAGGTTACACTAGAACAGTTTGCTTTTCTCTGACAAAGCTCACACTGCATCTCTTTCCAATTTCTGCCATTCTTCTCCTATAACACCTCATTAAGTACTCATCTAATTGTTTAGAAAGATTCTCTTCCAGGTTTCCCCCTTCATTTTGCTTTGGGGTATTCTTGAGTGCTCTTGGAGTGTTCTCTGTAGTCTTAAGTTGTTGCTTTTTGCCACTGCAGATTTTGCTGAATCCCAGCAATGTTATTCTTTACCAGAAAGAGCAGCGAATAGATTAAAGGATGCTGCGTATGACAGTCCCCATGTCTTGCTTGGTGGGAAATGGAAAGTGCAATTTTCAACAAACCAGATGTTACTATAAAAACAAATGTTTTTCAATTTATAAGTATTAAAATTCTTTTGAATAAGAAACATAGCTAATTTTAAAGAATGCATTACAAAGTCTCTACAGGGATAAACATATCCCTTGGAAGAATGCCGATGTTTCCTCTTACAATAGTGATAAGTGTGGGAACAGAAAAGCTAAACTGCACTTCATAAACCTGTGAGTTTACTCAAGTAGTTAAAAGAATGCTCACAATTATTTCCACAGGGGTGTTCAATCAAGCAGTGTCTTAAATATAATGTTAAAATGTGACATTCTTCATGTGCACATTAGGTTAGGTGTTTCACATTTCTGGTACAGCAATTAGTGCTGAAATGGCTATAATTGGGTTCTAAAGTTAACAGCCCATTAAGGTGACTGAAATAAGTTCTCCTCTTAGTGTTATTACTCCACTTATTTGGCAGCAGAGTCAATATGGCACTATACACTGGTTTACATCTTCAAGGTCTTCTTTGCTACCTGAAGGACTAGGCATGTAATGGACTTGCTTTGTGAGAATTCATTTAAGAAACTACCTCTAAAAGGTCAACAAGAAAACCTTAAATTATTAGAAAAAACCTCACTGGACTAGGATTTTACCTCAAATGCTGACTCTTCTATCCAAAGGTAATGACTGCCACAGTGTCAATATAAAGGACTAACAATTAAAAATCCTCACTCTAAAATATATTTTGTGGTCATGAAAGGACTCCTAAAACATAGTCATATGCAAAACAAATGCTTCCGTCCGTCCTTCCTCACACTCTTTCTTTTGACCTCCCATTTAAGATATGCATCAAAAGCTACAATACCAAGTACAAAAAGGATGTGTCTGTTACTTTCAACTTAAATTACTAGAAGGGTTACAAGCACTTTCGCAAAACCAGCTAGATTTTGCAGAGACTATGGTCAAATTATTTACACAAGAAAACTCCAAGGCATCCTGGCAAACTTATCATTCTTAGGTGTGTGCTAAAAACTAAACCATTACTCAAGAGTTTTCAATGCACCACATGAATTCCTTGCACTTACGAAGTTCACTCCACTTGTGGGTTCCAGGGTACCTATTTACAAAAGAAAGACTTAAGGAAATAAACTTCCTGTGCACTTTGCACTGTGGTTGAGGGGGAAAAACTCATATACCACATTCAATCTAGACTAAAACCTAGACACAAATAATATTTTAAGGCTCAGTCTTGTTGGTTTAATTTGTTATAAACAGCCTAGCTTAAAGCATGATGCTAGTGAATATTTGTTCTGTATCTTTGGACAATAACTTTTATACATACATTATGGACAATATAAGAATTTCATTATGATAAGACCATTAACTCTGCTGCTGAATGACATTTAGGATGCAAAGATCTCTCTAGCATGTGTGCATTCAAAAGTCTACTTAGTATGGTTCTGTTTTCTGTTTATATATATCAACGGTCAGACCCTTTGCCATCCCTGCCTGATATTAACCAAAAAAACTATAGGTCTTCCATTTGCGCTTGACTCGCTGGTGAATGCAACTTGCTCACACAAACCTTTCCATGAGCACAGTGATAAACTGAACATAAAGGAGTTTCAGAAGGCTGAGAAGTGGACAGCAGCTTAATGTCACTCATACAGATTTGCAAACCTGCTAAGGCACAGCAGTATTTGAACTCAGTTTATTGTACCAAATTCAATGAAACCAAGACAGTAAGGTTAAGTATATTTGCCTTGAAATGAGTCCTGCTGGATTCACAGGAGCTTACTTCCAAGTAAATATAAACCAGGATCCAAAGAAAGGGTTAGCCCAGTGAATATTTGACTTCTCTTCTACCAGTATATGATCACCATAGCACATCACAAATGACGTGGGACACTCCCCTGTATTTTAATTAAGTGTTCAATATGTGATGCCTTCACAGGGATTTCCTGTTTGAGAAAAATGAGTGTAAAAACTAGTTTCATCCTAAGGGAACTAGTTGGACAGCTTTTGGGATCCTGGCCATGTTTAGCATTATGCTGTCAACCATTTCAAACATTACATAGAAATAAGCCCAGTTTTCTACAGAGACCCAGTACAAATGTTCACCTAAACAATAGTTGATGTGATTGAGAATAAGCTGTGGTGAGGACTGGAGCTATGTTCTTTCTTTCTCTTCTTTTCTTTTGATGCAAAGTTGAGGAACAATACACTCTAATCAAATTGTTTAAGTCAAACCAGGATCAAATCATACTTTGATAACCCATTTGTTAAATAACTTTGGTTAGAACAAACCATGGTTCTCTAAGTTCATACGTAAAATTATTTATCAAAACTTTTACCGTCCATGATCAGCCACAGGCTCTCTGAACAGTTTATGGTATGGGGAATTGTTGATTCTAAAGTGAGATGGAAACTTGTAAATTTTCCTCTTCTGCATAAAAGAGGAGAGTGGAAGAAAAACATGCAAGCTCAAGGGTTGTTCGAGATCATCTAAACAATGGAGATTGTTCTGAATTGGGCAAGTGTGTACATTCAAAAGAGGGCTGTGATCATTTTTCCCTGTGATAAGTGTGCCCATACTCATGGTGTACTTAATGTGCAAAAAGACTATAATGATATAAGGTTAATGTGCAAAAAGATTCTAATGATATAAGGTTAACTAGTTTGAAGTACATCAGAATCAAATATTTGTTGCTGTTTTGATTTCTCTGCTAATTTCTGTTTAAAAGATCTGACAGCTAAGAATAGACTCCTGAGGACCATTGGTATAGAAACTGACTCATAGTATGGGAACTGACCATAGTCTAATAGGCAGTAGTGCACTTCCTTCTTTTAATTTCAGTATGTGATAGTCATGGGATTAATGAGGAATGGTAGTGTTTAAACAAAGTATTTATCGTCATAACATGGGTCCAATATTATGAATCTGTTTAAGTGATTTTGGAACACACTATGCTGATAAATAAATGTATATTTATGGAATAAGTATGATAGCCTGCAATTGATTCACTTTGGCAAATTCCATTTTCCTTACCATTTTTTTGGAATTAAAAAGGGAACTCTACTTTAAAAAAAAAAAGAAAAGAAACAGCTGCTTCTACTTAAACTAAACTATTTCAAAACTGATGTAGCATTGCTACAGTGTGATATCATCTGAATGTCCAACATAAGCCTAAGACCCCGATTAATTTTAAAAATATGTGCTAACTCTCCTTTATCTGTGTGTGCAGTGCTCATTTGGATGAATGAAGAGGTACACACATGCAAAGAACAAAACACAGCTAAAGGAACCATTCACCAAGCATTGTTTCTGGTCTTCCTTCCAGAGATACTTTCTGGTCTTCCTTCCAGTAGTGCACTTCACCAATATCATTATGGATACTGAGTATTAATGGAACAGATTCCCACATGAAATGGTGCAAAATATCATCATCAGTAACCACCTGTTTTTGCATCCATTTGAAAGGAGGATCTTTTCCACCCATCTGATATTCCATACACTTCAAGAGGAGTTTTCCTTAACTTCGAAGCTAAGTCACTAAAGATACTGAATGTAACAGAAATGATGGCCCATGGGGACATCTTCAGATAACCCTACATTTATTCTTTAAATGACACAGTAGCTCTTATGTATATGAATGGCCTGCATAGGATATTTAAAATAACAGATTATCATTCATTTGCAGAAGTTGGAGTTCTATGTCTGTAGTAGTACATATGGAACAGAGAGAAAATTGTATGAGTTCAGTGAGCATACAGAAAACACTTGGATGTACTAATAAAATCTATTTGACCCACTATGTCAGGACATCCATTGCTATATATAAAGCCGTTTACTTTACTTTTTTACTATTCTGCATATCTGGAAACAGTGAAAAACAAAGCTAATTCTCAAACTACGGGAATATGGATGGCACCATTGATATGCTAACTTGAGCCTATTCATGAGCACCCTAGACTCAGCTTGCTGAGATAATTTATATTAATAGTTTGGAAAATTAGTTTATAAATACAGTATTTACTGACCTGTCCCTGCTTCTCCGTGAGGGGAAGGCAGCATTACAGCCAGCCACTGTGCAGACATGCATCTCTTTTAAGTGAACATTCCTATAGTGGAGTTTCACACTGTAGGAACTCTTGAAACTCTTCTTGCACACATAGCAGATTTTGGGATCTGGGCTGGAGCACAAATCGCCCTCAGGGGAAAATTTCTGGGGGCTGTTATAGTTGAATGTTGAAGTGAAGCTTTCATGGAGTGCAGCCATGCTGGCACTGCCTCCATTGTAAAGTCCATATTGGCTCATGTAGAACATCTCATACGTCGGGTCTGTGAATTCTTCCTTAACCTTCACTTCAGTGTGGTGGGAAGCATCATTGTGGTTTTCATCTGGCCTGTCATGGTTCACCATGGATTTATTATTTCTTTCATGCATCATGTGTTCATCCCCTTCCATGGATTCATCACACAGTTTTGGTTCTGAGGATTCTGACTCATTCTCATAGTCTCTCTCATGCTCTTGGTCTTCCGATGTCATGCTATCTGCCCTTCTTAGCTCGGTCCTTGAAATGCACCTGTTTCTCCCATTTTTTGAGAAGTCTTTCACAGACAACCCGGGGCTCATCTCTTCCTGAGAAAGGCAATGATTGTCATGCCCACCATCATTCGCTACACTTCTGCTGTCATTAACTTCCTCATCTTCATCATCAAACTCATCAGCGGTGTCAATGACTTCCTTCTCTATTTTCACAGGCATGCTTGACTTCCTTGGCTTTTTCTTAGGGGCAAGGTCAGCATTTGCCTCCTGGGAAGGCATCAGCACTGCAGGTAGTGTTGATTCTGAATGAGGAAGAGGAGGCTGCTCTATTGTACCAGTTGCTGGCATTAAAGGACTCGTGGGTAATGAGGTTGGAGGACTCACCATCTCACCAGGTGTAAGTAAACTTCTGTAAAAAGGAGGAACAGGCTGTACAGTCTTTAAAGCTGGGAATACAAGTTGGCTAGGTAGAGGATTTTGAAGCACAGGATCTAATGGGGGAGTGGTAAAACCCATTGGAGGTCGTCCAGGACTTGTTAATGTTAGATTGGATTTTGTACTTGCTATAACAGGTGTGGCGGCACCTGATGTAGCACGGATCAGATCCTTATCACGATTGTTCCTTAGCATGGGCATATGAAGCCGGGGGTTAGGGTTAGCGCTGTGACGGTTACGACTTCTGAGTGAGCTGAAGACCATGTTACAACCTTCAATAGTACATCTATGTTTGATCTTAAGGTGGACTGCATTGTAGTGTATTTTGAGAGTCCCCTTGTCATAAAAGGTTTTGCCACATGCATTGCAAAAGACTCTCCCCTTCCGTGATGCTGATCCCATTCGCCTCATTCTGTGGATTCTAAAAGTACTTTTAGTGTGTTCAGGTTTGGATAAATCACTGACGGGGGTAGATGTCTGAACAGGGGACACAGAAGCTGGCTCAGTTTTGGGCTCGACATTTGTGATGCTGGTCAAGGCATTCCTGCTGGCTGTCTGCTCACTCTTGAAAGGGGCCGGGGAGACTTCAGACTCGCTGCTTTCATTATATTCATTCTGGGTTGAAAGACTTGGTTCACGCAGCCTCAGTGTTGGCTGTTCCAGCAGAAGCCCATTTGGAGGCAAGCCCAACAGAGGAGCAGAGACTGGATTGATGTACTGAAATGGAAGCAGGAATGCCAGGCTGTTGGGGATGTTTTCAAAATGATGAATGCTGGATGGGTTACTGTTCTCCAGGTGAGCGAGGAGGCTTGGACTCCTGGTTCGATTATTGCTTTCAATAAAAGTCCTTATATCTGAGTCTGCCTTTGAAGATGGTACAGCCACTGCTTGCCCTTCTTTTTCTTGAATTGCCATCAGCTCCACAATGGATTTGGTTTCTCCGAACCTCAGAAACTGCTGAAGGGTAATAATCTCTTCTTCCCTGGACATGATGGCCCAGCGGTCCAGCACTTTGCCTGCAGCATCCTAGAGGCCATATCAAAGAAACAACAAAGACAAACACAAAAGAAGAAAACCTTATTGATTCTGCATAATTATTGACTTCGATTGAAAGTGCTGTGCTGACTGCTCATCAAACACTAAGCTCAAAATACGACATGCAAACACTGTGCTGATAGAAGTCGATCCACAAAGCAAACTTTGCTACCATGCAAATGTAGTAATTAGAGTCATAGTTAAAGAAATAGAGTGGTTTAATAATGTCAAAGCAAACAAAAACGTGGGCCAGTGGGGCTTTGTGATCTAAAATACCTTCAATAATGCCATTTTAACAACAGAGACCTATGTTCTGTGCAACTGTTTAACATTCATTAGAATGAGAGGTGAACTCTCATTGTGGGCTGCATTGCAAATGCGGAAGACGGCACCTTAGTCCATGGCAAATAGAACCACTACAGGAAATACCTGAATACATTTAGTAGTAATGTACTTCTCAGATAATATAGAACTAAATAAAATAGTAAGAGTTTTTAAATAAAAAGTAGTAAGATAAACCACATTGCTAGTAACTAGAATTGGCTGAGGTAATAATTCAAAAGGCAAAATAAAACATTACGTGGATTTTTGTTTTACTATTTTTTTTCTTCCAGAGTAGTATTTTGAAATTAATTTTACTCCAGCTTGAATCAAAAGTCTTGGAAAACCCCATTGTTTTGATTAATGCAACTGCTGCTGTAGATGCAATTAACTGTTATCCTGTAGTACAAACTTGGTTAAACTTAAAATAGGATGGCTTATTGCCATATTTTAGAAAAGTAATTGACAGCTGAAAACATTTTTAAAAGTATACAGTTGATACTTGCAGATAACATAAATGTGTAAAAATGTCTCTCAGCACTGCCTTCAGATAGCAAGGGAAAATGTCCAGGGAGAGTACACATCAGTAATCACCAGGCTATCTGTTGTTAAATATACATTAAAAAGCATTTCACACTTTCATTTTTGCTGGTAAGTATGAGATTTGCCTCGAGGTAGGACTTAAAAATTCTGCACTGTAATGTCAGGCTATCCGCTGCAGCATGTACGGATAAGGACACGAAGAAAAGCATTAGAATGTTTAGATAATAAATACATCATTTCCTGGCAACTTTTCTAGTTAGGTTAATGGCAGCCATGTTGCCACCTTTGTAATTCACCAGTGAACCTTTCCCTGTGCATTAAGCAGTGGATGGCTTAGTGACTCCAACAGAGATGCTTCTCCCCCTTAGGCTCTTTAGTCTTGCTTTCCTTTCTCTAAGCACAAGCAGAGAAACCTCAACAACTCTTATTCTCTAGCAAATGGACAAAACAGACAACAAAGTATTAGGAAAGGAAGAAAGATGATGAAAGTGTAAATAAGTAAATCATGTTTCTTTTCCTCCTTTACTAAGGAGGAACTAAGGAACTCCTGTTCCTAAGGAGACAACACAGAATTAACTTGTGGAACTCACTGCCTTGGAACAGTTGTCATAAGCTTCTGCTCACTCCTAGAGGGTACCCCGGGTTCGAGGGGAGCAAAGTTTTATGCATGCCGGAAGGACTTGCCACTTGCTGCCACAGCAGACAAGACTAAACAGATGGTCTGATCCAGGAAGACTCTTCTCATGTCCTTAAACTAGTAATGTTCTTAAGGTCAGAATTTTAAAGCCTTTCATGGTGCTAAGAAATTCTGAAATCCTGTCAGGACACGACCTATTTGGGCATGCAATATTAAGAAAATTTACACAGAGATAAGCTAAGTACTTTGCAGGAACTGAATTCAAAAGGGAAGTGTTTGTTTATTTCAGGGTTGATTTAGGGTTGATTCTCAGCAAATGTCTCCCCTGCCCGTGATCCAAATTTTCCTGAAGGAAGACATGCGAAGAATATTAGCTTGGAATGCGAAATCCACATTTGCATTCCCGTGCAACGTTTTTCATGTGCATTGTCCCAGAGAAATTCTTTTCCCTGTGGCAGAAATATATTTTGTTGGAATCAGCCTGTGGACCTGTATTTATTTATTATTTGATTTATTTGATTTCTATCCTGCCTTTTTTCTTTCTTTTAAAGAACCTGGTGTGGCTTACATCATTCTCCTCCTCCTGTTCGCAATCCTATCCCCACAACAATAACAAGCCTGTGGGAGAGTCTGGGACTGGCCCAAAGTCGTCCAGTTGTCTCCATAACTGAGTGGGGGCTTGCACCCAGACCCGTGATCTTAACCACTATAGCACACTTGCTCTCAGTATGAAATGCTCAAATCCAGTTACGATGATTGTTCTACATCAATACGGAATCAATACACATCAATACAGAATCTAATCAGATGTTCAAACAAGGAGGAATTAGGGCTTGTAGACAAGCCAAAGCTTGTGTTAGAATTTCCTTTAGCATATGCAAACATGACATGTGAACTGCATGTGTTTGGCTAGCTCTAGAGGCTGGTAAGGGGAGCTGCAGCTGTTGGGATCTTAAAGCTGGTAGGGAGAGAACTAAAGTCCAGAGAAAGTGGTTAAAACTTTCAAATAAAAGTGTCTCAAAGCATCACATCATCCTTACTTCCACTTATTCTTAGCTGGTACTAACTAGTTCAAGGGCAGCACGGATATGGAGAACAGCAAAGCTACTGGAAGAAGGCAATTTGCAAAAACTAATGTGGGATTAAGCTGAGCTTTTGTCCACAGATCGTCTGACACTGGACTCCTGGACATGCTGAATCTGTGGTTTTACTCCCTGGTACCCATCAGTGGTTGAAGGGACACACTGATGATTGCTTGCCCATGGACACCCAAACCATGAAACTAGCCCTGTGCATGTAGATACAAATAGTACTGAGAAGGGACTGGATACAGCCTGAACCATCAACACGTAAGCCTTTCTCTCATGGCCTGAACAAACCCGGCTAGCACTGCTTTTACTTGCACATTGCACTGAAAGTGTGGAGGCCTTTGGGTGGAACCAAGCAGCATGAACCTGTTTTGCATCCTCTATGTGTTCAGCTTAAACCTGGGCATTGAGGGAAGGGAAGGGAAGGGAAGGAGCCACAGTGGAGTGTCCTAGAGACTGATACCCCTTGGAGACACTGCTGGGTCTCTGTTCATAGTAATATCTGATGAAGATACTGGAAAACTACTGAAACTATCTGGCTGTATTAGATTGGCCTCTGGCACAGTGTTGAAGCATTCACTTACTGGGATATATCACTATCATTTCTAGCTGAAGTTCTCCAGGTGGTTCACAACATTTAAGTCACCCATCCAGATTTCAACCAGGCCCAACCCTGCTTACTTTTCAACATGAGGCAGGATCAGGCGCTTTAGGCTGTCTGGAAGCTAGGGCAATTACGGCAAGAAGATTACTATTTAAGTGATCCTTGGCTCATTGCTGTAGACTTCTTGGAAAGTTTGTTTGTCTCTTTTTTCCTATCTGTATGGCTGAGAATGTATGAACCCTTTTGGTCTGATCAGGTATCTTCTATCCTAAGGACTCTGAAACCTACCATGGATCTGCAGCCTGATCCTGTGCCTCTTTTCAGAAGCATGTCTCACTGGCTTCAGTAGGCTCTACTGCCAGGTAAATTTGCTTGGGATTGCAGCCTTAGTTAGTCTTATGCTAGACATTAACTCCCAGGTACATTATGATATGCCTGGGTCCTGCCTTTTTTATATAGTTTACATGCTCATAGCATGGTTTATGTTCAGCCTGGCAACTTATTCGTAATATATTCTGCTTCTCCCAAATCTATGTCTTTACTAGTCACTAAAAGCCCGTGCCTGTTTCAAAGGAATCACAGCATTATAAAAGTTAACCAAGCATCCACGCGTACGTAAACTTTCACTGAATACCTACTAGTTGAATTTTATTTTTAATATGTGATCCATGCTGTATATTCCTTAACACTTTTCCAAATTAAGCACATAATAAATTTTAAAAACAAATGATCAGTGGACAACATTTAGAATCACATCTATCACTGGAAAATGAAGGTGAGCCTGAGAAATTTAAACATGCAAGTTTTGTTTTGTTTTTCCCATAGCTGTTTTTCACTAGTTTCATATATTTGCTATTATACTACAAAAAATGACACCAGAATAGATATTGTAATATAATACTACAAATATCTGCTGTGTTATAATCAACGCTCAATACTCACATATCACCAGCTGAAGGAAATCTAGCTATGTGTTATAATTCAGAACTAGATAAGGATGAATAGGAATATTTTAAGATGAACACCTATAAGAAACAAAGGCAAACATCCCTTTGGAGCAGGCTATAAACTAGCTTTACATTCCTTGGAGCACTGCAATGCCTGGCTTGAGGTTCACATCATTTCTGACATATAACCAGTTTCTTGTCTCTCATGATCTTTCCCCAATGCCATTAAATGTTATCAACATACACGTTTTTCATTACAAAAGGTTCCAATCTGTAGTGTTTCTGAATAAGACAAGTCTCCTGTGACCATTCAGACAAGAAAGTCAGGGAGCATCCTTGCTGAGAAAGTGCTCAAGAGCAGCATGCCGTATTTCTGCAGCATAAAAAGTTGTTTCTGCTTCTTTGGCCTTCCAACAGTGTAACCCCTACACATGCCTACTCAAGCTTCATTGATTTCAATGGTATTTATTCCCAGGTTTGTGCAGACTGGTTGCTTTCTTCTGATTTTAGTAGCAGGAAAGTCTTAACACCATCTGATTAACTTACAGGACTTATAACCTTAGATTATACTTTTCTTCAGTCTAAACACACACACGTTCTTCTCTATATATAACTGTGCAAATAAATATTGCTAGATGCAGACACATTGTGTGTTCATTATTGGGTCAGTAGAATAGTGTCCAAGTTAATCATTTTCTGATTTTCACTGACCTATGGGTTAGGATGAGATATGCCAGGACATGTTAGGATACATCTTGCTCGAACATGTGGGTCATCTAAGAATGTGTGATGAGTTCAGGACGAACATAGCAAACAATACAAATAGGGTTAGAAAAGATGACTTCTCATCC